GCCTCTGCAGCTGCCTGCAAGCCCTGGGAGAGCGCAGGTCCGGGAAGAGCTGTGCCCACTGGACAGCGCTGACTGGCCACTCTCTGTTCCCCGGCAGGGATCTGAAGGGGTCCAACCTGCTCATGACTGACAAAGGCTGCGTGAAGATAGGTGAGACCCTAGCAGCTGCCCGGCCCGGCTGCCGCTGTGGATGTGCCCGAAGCTCCCCTTCCGCCCCGTGACACGTTTGGAGCGAGGAGCTTGCCTGTCTCCTCACTTCCAGTTTCCCCTGTTGCAGCTGATTTTGGACTGGCACGCACCTACGGGATGCCGCCAAAGCCGATGACCCCCAAAGTCGTCACACTCTGGTGAGTGGCCGGTGCTGGGGGCTGAGCCGCACTGGCTGAGGGTGACGCGGGTGACTCCTCACAGCGCGGTGGGGGCTTCCTTTGTGCCGGCTCCACCACGGTCCCCTTGAGACTGTGCTGTCCCCCATGCAGGTACCGAGCGCCTGAGCTGTTGCTGGGGATGACAACCCAGACCACCAGCATTGACATGTGGTAAGGGGCGGGCAGGAGGGGGCCCTGGTGGGGCCTGGGGGACTGTAAACCCGTGGAGGTGGGGTGATGGAGGGGTTTCCCCTGCCCCTACTTGCTCTTGCACGCTGCCTGCTCCGCAGGGCCGTGGGCTGCATCCTTGCCGAGCTGCTGGCCCACAAACCACTGCTGCCGGGCACCTCTGAGATCCACCAGATCGACCTCATCGTGCAGCTCCTGGGGACGCCCAACGAAAACATCTGGCCGGTGAGAGCGGCCCCCACTTTGCCCTCTCCCTGCCTCCTCTCCCTGCCTCCTCTCCCTGCCTCCTCTCCCTGCCTCCTCTCCCTGCCTCCTCTCCCTGCCTCCTCTCCCTGCCTCCTCTCCCTGCCTCCTCTCCCTGCCTCCTCTCCCTGCCTCCTCTCCCTGCCTCCTCTCCCTGCCTCCTCTCCCTGCCTCCTCTCCCTGCCTCCTCTCCCTGCCTCCTCTCCCTGCCTCCTCTCCCTGCCTCCTCTCCCTGCCTCCTCTCCCTGCCTCCTCTCCCTGCCTCCTCTCCCTGCCTCCTCTCCCTGCCTCCTCTCCCTGCCTCCTCCTCACGCTCCGTCCCCCGCAGGGTTTCTCCAGGCTGCCCCTGGTGAGTCAGTACACCCTGCGGAAGCAGCCCTACAACAACCTCAAGCACAAGTTCCCCTGGCTGTCGGAGGCTGGGCTGCGGCTGCTCAACTTCCTCTTCATGTACGATCCCAAGAAGCGGTAAGAGCCGGGGGCAGGCCTGGGCAGCCAGGGCCCGGGGCAGGTTGGGGGGGGGGGAAACCCGCCGGCAGGGGCGGGCCGC